TTAACACTGCACTGAGAGAGAGAGGGGTTAATACAGACACACTGACTGGACACTCCAGTACATTAACACTGCACTGAGAGAGAGGGGTTAATGAATTTCTGATTCTCACTCCTTCATGGGCGTCTTCACTGGTGTCCATGTTTCTGAGGCAGAAGTTGTGCCTGTTAACGATATGATAATTGTTACTCCCAGACAGAATAGATATCAATTCATCCGTCCAATGAGAACAATCCATTCTGATCCAAGTCAGTCCACTGCAGTATAAGAGCAGCCCAATCCAACTTCGAGCACCTCAGACTGCTCTGTCAGTGTCAGTCAGTCTGATTATAATCCCAGTGAATCACTAGTCCAGCTCCCAGTCCAGTCCAGTCCAGTCCTGGACTATCTCGGAGTCGATGGATGTCTCTCGACATTTTAAAACGAGGGGAGTTGCCCTCTCTCTTGGGTCCTTGCAGTCCCAGACTGCCCTTATTTGTGCCTGAGCAAAGTGCACGCAGACACAGGAGGGTGGCAGCGCGACAGGAAAGGGGCGTGACTTCCTCAGGAAATCATCAAAACCATTTCCTCCTGACCTCAAACAGATCCCTCACTGAAGGGGAGAAAAGACGAAGCATCGGAGGGAGGGAGGGAGGAAGGAGAGAAGAGCTGAAGTCTAGAGAGGATGACAAGACCGCAATGGCGACAGTGCGAGAGAGAGCAAGGTTTCTGCAGTCAGGAGATTACAGGGTAACTGTGAGGTTCAGGGTACTAGAACTAAAGAGTCAAGTATTAACTCCTGGATGGGTGACACTGGACCAGCTGTCCTCGGGGTGCAGCAGGACTGGACCTGAACCAGTGGACCAGCTGTCCTCCTGGTGTAACAGGACTGGACCTGAACCAGTGGACCGGCTGTCCTCGAGGTGCAGAAGGACTGGACCTGAACCACTGGACCAGCTGTCCTCCTGGTGCAGCAGGACTGGACCTGAACCACTGGACCAGCTGTCCTCGAGGTGCAGCAGGACTGGAGAGGGGGAGGAGGGGAGTGAAGGGAGGTCTCCCACACAGAGCACTCATTCAGCCAGCTGAGGCTCACTCCCTCACCTTCATCAGAAGAATGAGGGCTTGACGTGGGAGCCTGCCCTGCTGCTCCACCTCCCTCCGAGCACACAGAGCGCAGTATACAGGAGCAGGCAGGCGTCCACACCAGCCAGGGCATGAATGGACTCACTGTCAGTCATCGGTGACTCAATCTCTCTGCCTGCTTTCCATTCATGTCTGCATGTCCAGTGGATAGCCTGCACTAGATAGCCTCCCGCCCCCCCAGACTACAGCCTGCACTACACCCCCCAGACTACAGCCTGCACTACACCCCCCAGACTACAGCCTGCACTACACCCCCC